AGCCTGCAGATGGAAGGGTCCCGGGTTCTATTCCGGTCAAGGGCACGTACCTCGGTTGCAGGCTCCTCCCCGGCCGGGGGCCTGGTCAGGGCGCATGCAGAAGGCAGCCAGTGGATGAGTTCCTTTCACATCACTATTTCTCTCTGTCTTTCCCTCTCTCTTCCACTCTCTCTAAAAATCAATGGGAAAATATTCTCAGGTGAGGATTAAATAAAAATATAGATTGTCATAACTATGTACATCCCAGTACTGGAAATCCCGGGGGAAACACTTTGTAAAGTATAGGATGATCTAACCACCATGCTGTACACCCGAGACTAATACAAAATAACACGGAATGTAAACTGTAATTGAAAAACAAAATTATTTTACGTTTTCACCAGGGAGCCCACCCCCATGTCTAAATCCCCGTGTCATGGGAGGGGCCCGGCATGCTCTCACAGCCTCAGTTACCCTCCTCCGAAGAGGCAGGAGGTCAAGCTCCCTCCTGATGAACAAGACAGTGGGTCGTGGTGCAGCTGCACTGACCTCTCTCATCAGGAGCACTGGGACTGGTTGCTGCTGGTAGGAAAGCATCTGAGTGCTCCCTGGCGGGGGCAGCTTCCCAGGACACTTCTCCGTGCTCTTCCCTGGGTCACAGTGCGGGTGATCTTTTGAGAAAACCCCGCCAGTACCTGATGGTGGCATGGCGTGCCCTGGAGCATGAGCGATGGTTTATCCATCCCTTTCCTCCCAGGGAAGGCAGGGAAGAGGGCAGGAGTGCTCCCTGCTGCCTCCAGGCCTGCAAATGTGCTACGAGAATGGGTTTTGGACGCAGGACCCCAGCGAGCCACACCTGTTATCCTCTTGCTGATGATCGCTAACACGACAGAAATGACCAATCCGGCCTGATTGCTTGAGTGTCACGGGCCTGACCTCTCCCAAGCAGCTGTTTGTCCTTTCCAAGATCCCTCCCTTCTGTGTCCAGGCCTCTAGGTGGGGCACTTTCTCTGCCCCTTTCCTTCTGGCAAATCACCTCTAGACATGCCGCATCCAGGAGATACACCCGCTCCCGTCCCCCGCCCCATCTTCCTGTGCTACAGCGTGTCCTGACTCCACGTACAGGGGCTGTGACATGCAGGATTCTGCCGTCGGAGAGCCCTGGCTCCAAATCCGGGCTCTGCTCCTGCTGGTCCATGGCCCTGGACCACTCCATACCTGCCCTGAACTCACATCCTTGCTGCAGGCAGACGCGCCAGGACCCGCCTCCCGTGGTGGACGGGGGAGGACTGAACAAGCACCGGGACGAGAATGCTCGGCGCCGTGCCCGAGGCGCTGGAAACACTGGAGCTGTGGACGATTATTATTATTGGCTGCGCGGCAGCGAGGAACATTGTGGGAACAGCAGGCCGGCCTCCCGGGCTGCCGTGCTTTCAGCAGCTGCTCAGCCCCTGCTCGCTGCTGCGCCCGCCGGGCCACGGGCCAGCAAGGCGGCTCCCCGAGTCTGCAAATAGGTTCCAGATGCTTAGAGAGTCTGTGTTTTCCTGTGCCTCAGGCCTCGGTGGAGAATCGCCTCGGCAGCCATTGGCTCTCCACAGCGCCCATTAGGTTTTATCTCTGCAATTATACCGGGGTGTGTGTGCCACCCCATGGGGAATCTTTTTGTTTGCCCCCACCCCGAGCCAACAGAGATGTTAACATGGATGGCTCCGAGGAGGAGGAGGAGGAGGGGGTGGGAGGGCGGCCTTTCCTTCCACCGTGTCCCGGTTTTGAAAAGGGCCCGGAGGGTGGCAGGTACACGGAGCCCTCATTAGCCCGGGGCAAGCTGAGAGCCCGCAGCTGCACGGCCCCAGCTTTTGTCATCAGGCGGGCACCGGCCTGCTCCCCGTGTCTCTCCCCGCCTCGCCCCCTTCCTGTGAGCGTGTTCTGACTTTCCGGTGCCAGGAGGAGTTCCAGGCTCATCTTGTCTTTTCCTCTGCCCCTGCCCCCGGAATGAATGGCTTCTCCTTGGGAGCCCTGGTTTCTTTTATTGGAGGATGATGCTTGGATTAAAGAATAAAAACACACGGCTGTTTTTCCTTGTCACTACATACAGTCCTCTGATTGTATGTTTTCTGGCCATCAACTGTGTGGAGGTTTTTCTATATCTCAAGCAATTATTTTTTAATGTTTATTTTTTTATTTTTTTATTTTTTTATTGGTTTGAGGAAGAGAGAGAGGACAGAAATCAGCTGCCTCCTGCAACCTGAGCATGCGCTCTGACCAGGAATCGAACTGGTGACCTCTCGGGGCATGGGATGGCATGCAACCACCTGAGCCACAGCAGCCAGGGCTACGCCTTGAGCAATTCTGTGTTGGTTCCTGTAGACTCTGATGGTAAGGCAGCTTAGTTTGACTTCATGGGATGAAAGGATGTTGAGATTAAGACAGGATGTATCTGATTTTCTAAGCCAGGACCCTGAGAGGGTGAGGCCAGAGGCCACCGAGTCAGAGGGGGAGGGACAGGAGGGTCCGTTTCAGAGCCGGAGTGTCCGGGGGCTCTGGGTCCGGGGCTACATTGTAGCGCACCCCTTCCAGGCGGGATGCGTGGTCCAGTGTTCTGGAATGCTTAGCAAAGCCCAGAGGGACAGAAGGACATGGACTATATTACTGAGCTAATTCATCTCAGCTCCTGATTCTCACCTTTCAGACCAGAGTGAGTGGGAGCAGGAGCGTTCAGGCAGAGACAAACATCCCAGAGGATACTGTTCAAGGCACCCTCCAGACACACCGCTTGTGTGTTATTCCAAAGAGCCAACGTTGTGGCTTTTATTTTATTTTATATATATTTTATTGATTTTTTTTTTTTTTTTTTTTTTTTTTTTTTTTTTACAGAGAGGAAGAGAAAGGGATAGAGAGTTAGAAACATCGATGAGAGAGAGTCATCAATCAGCTGTCTCTTGCACACCCCCTACTGGGGATGTGCCCACAACCAAGGTACATGCCCTTGACCGAAATTGAACCTGGGACCTTTCAGTCCGCAGGCCGACGCTCTATCCACTGAGCTAAACTGGTTTCGGCAAGGTTGTGGCTTTTATTTTTTTATTATCCTCATTGGAGAATATTTTTTCTATTGATTTTTAGAGAGAGTAGGAGGGAGAGGGACAGACAGAGAGAAACACCAATGTGAAAGAGATACATTGATTGGTTGTGGCTTTTCCATGCAAGGATGGGCAGTGGAGGAGGCACTGCTATCACCTGCTACTGCTTGTCATCTCCCAATTCGCTCAGATTGGTTAGGGATATTTTAGGACCAGTGAGACGAGAGAGGGGAAGAGGAACACGGGAAGTTAGCCAATGAGATTTGGAGTAGGTACCCAGTTGTTTTCTAACGTCTATAAAGCAATTCATATCCTGTACATACAATAAGAAAAATGCGAAGTGAAGTGTAAGAGACCATCCGATAGGCTTGTGTGCATGCAGATAAGCATAACCAATGGATGCAAAACACTAGGAGGGTGAGGGCATGTATGGGAGTTGTGTGTGTGTGGGGGCAATGGTAAGATATGTACACATATAATACCTTAATGAAAAAAAATGGGAAAAAATAGAGTTAAAAAATAGGTAATAGGCATACACAATAAAATTCCAAAATATATATTTCAAAAAAGAAAAGTGTGAGGTGTATAAAAAAGAGTTGGAGTCACGAGTGAACAGGAGTTGGGCTGGGAGGTGAAGTAGAGGAAATATTTGAAGAAGAGCGGGATCCATCTTACTCATGAGCTCGAAGGGTCACACCTCAGAAGTGGGTCTGCCAGGCGCCGCGATGGAGGAAGAAGGCAAGGGACTCTGCCGAAGGCCCAGAACGGGCCAGCCCTGCCGTCGAACAGACCAGCTGTCAGCCTCTCTTCCGCTTCTCGGATGAAAGGCCTGTGATGTGTCACACGCCCTCAGAGTAACATTCACACGTGCTCAGCGAGCGCCGGGGCTACATCACAAGCCTGCTCTGAGTATGCTGCACAGCGACCTATATTTAAAGGCGCAAAACAACCTCTTCCCGTTCATGACTTTGGAAAAGGCTTTTCAACCGTCCTTGCCTCCCTTCTGGGCGGGGCGTTATCTGGATGAAGCCAAGGTGTGATCTAAGGAGAGGAAGCTACTTTAAAGAGTGTGCGTTTGTGGAATTCTCTCCCTGGTGCAAAAGTCTTCCAACTTTTCACTAAAAAAAAAAAAAAAAAAAAGGAGGAAGAAAATAATTACAGGAACCATAAATCAGCAATAAAGGAAGAGGGAGAAGCAGGGTATGAAGAGAAAAGGTGAGCATTTGTGAATGGAGAGCTGTCTTGTTAGTAATAAATCCAGTTGAGAGTGAATTTAAGCATAACTGGGTTCTAAAGCCTTCTTCATATTTTATTTTAATCCTCACCCAAGGAATATGCTTTCATTGATTTTTCTCTGATTTTAAGAGAGAAAAGAAGAAAGGAAGGAAGGAATGAAGGAAGGAAGGAAGGGAGGGAGGGAGAAAGGAAGAGAGGGAGGGAGGAAGAGAGAGAGAGAGAGAGAGAGAGAGAGAGAGAGAAAGAGAGAAACATCCATGTGAGAAGCATGGATTGGCTGCCTCCCACATGCACCGTGACCAGGAATTGAATCTGCAAGCTACATACCTGCCCTGACCGGGAATTGAACCTGCCACCTTTTGGTGTAAGAGATGATGCTCCAACCAACTGAACCGCATCCAACAAGGCTGTTACCCCACATTTTCCAAATTAGGAAGTGGAGGCACAGAAATGCTAAGTCGCTTGCCCGGTCTCCTGTAGGGGGAAGTGGACTTGGCCCAGGCATCCTGGCCCCATGGGCTGTGCTTCTCGCTGCTCCCCGCACCACCCTCTCCTCTCATACATGTGAGAAGGTGCCCGTTATCCCAGCCTGGTTTTTGCGGAGCCCTTCTTCCGAGGAGCCTGAAAGGAAGACAGGACGGCGTGGCTGCATGACACACACAGGACGTCGTTTATTGGCGCCCGGACGGAGGGCAGGGGAGAGGGGCAGCCTTTCAGGGGGAATCGGTGGCCCTCCTCAGGGAGCCCACGCGGGCGCTGGCGGCCCCCCAGTCCTGGCAGCGCCGGCAGTCCCCGGGCCGCAGCAGGTGCTGGCGCCCCCGGTAGCCGGGCAGCTCGTAGAGGACCCAGCAGCCCTCCAGCACGCCGAGGGAGAGCACCTCCCGGAAGGGCAGGCGGTCCTGCAGCGAGGAGCAGTCCTCCGAGGTCTCCACCATCTGGCCCCGGCAGTCCTCCCTCTCGTACAGCCGGATCCTGTGCGAGCTGCTCTGTGGATTCAGCAATCAGCCGGCGAGGAGAAGTCAGCAAACCCAGCCGGTAGCAACCAACCCCACACAGCTCTGGGGAGGAGGGAGGGGGGTGGGCACTTCTCTGTCTTTTCTGCATCCAAGGTGACTACGCTAAAGAAAGAGACCCCCAGTACCTGGGCTGCTGTGGCCAGCTGGAGAGGATGTACCCTCTAAATCTCAAAAAGTCGTTATTCGTGGAGGCCATGATATGAATGGTGCTCCCTAGAGTTTGTTTGGGTCACAACCTGTATCGACCATATATGCTGGCTCTATTTAGTATCATCCTTTTTCTAAAAAAATTTCACCAAAAGATATATTTAGAGGGAGGAAGTGGGGATAGAGAGAGAGTAAGAGAGAGAGAGAGAAACATCAATGTGCTGAATGACACTCAACCAACTAAATCATTTGGCCAGAGCTTTAGTACCATTTTTAAATAACAATTTTATATATTTAGTTTGCTCTCTCCCTCCTAGATTTATGGTTTTCTGGGGCTCTGCATACCAGATGGTATAAAATAAAATAAAATAAAATAAAATAAAATAAAATAAAATAACAAATATAACACTGCCAGATGGCATTATTTTGACTTTTTTTTTTAAAAAAAAAGTTCATTATGTTTATTTTTTTTTAAATATGTTTTTGTTGGTTTCAAAGAGAGGAAGGGGGAGGGGGAGAGGAATAGACACATCAATGATGAGAGAGAACCACTGATGGGCTGACTCCTGCACACCCCCTGCTGGGGATCAAGCCTGCAACTGGGGCCTGTGTCCAGACTGGGAATGGAGCCGTGATTTCTGAGTTCATAGGTTGATGCTCAACCACGGAGCCACACCAGCCAGGCATTATTTTGACTCTGGACAGTATTCTAAGAGGCTAGGGACAGAAAAGTCAAATTGCTTTCCGCACAGTCAGACACAGACCAGTGGCCATTATGCATAGGCAATGCCTTAATACCTTCCTGTCTACTTCAAGTCCTGTTTCTCTAAAATGTTGACAAGCGGGCACCATCATAAAGGTGAGGTTTCTATTCTCAGCTCTAACAATATGTTCTGGCAAAACAGTTTTAGGTAATTAATACAAATGAAAGCTCAAGATCCTGAAACAGGCCCTTACAGATCAAGAGATGATTACAAGACCTTTGGAGAAATGGAAATGCGAGCGGTTGGCGCTGGGCCTGTCCTGTGTCTCTCCCTGAGCCTTGTTCTTTTATCTGCTTGTTCCTACCCAGCAGGGACCCATTCAGTGTCTTCCTTCTGCCGCCACGAAACCCCCTCTGCCACGGAAGGCTCTCCTCAGCAATTCATTCTGCCGGATACGAGACGGCGGTAATGCATCTTCCATGGTCCGTAAGGGACTCACAGGTACGGCGTTTCCTAATTTGATTTCCGGGCCAGCCCGGAGCAGCATTATCAGCCTTTTCCCTTTTGTATGAGAAACGAAGGCTGAGCTTGCAGCCTGTGATCAGAAGAGCAGGGGCTGCTAAGAGAATGCTCCGATGTCCGGGCTCCGCGTGGCAGCCTGGGTCCTATAGGCATTAGACCCTCGGAGGGGGTTTCAGACTTCACCGAAGGGGTACATTTCCCCCAAGACTCTGTCTCAGTCAAATCAGAGGATGCCTAAAGTGGAATTCGGGCTGCTGGGGCGTTGTTTGGGGAAGAGAGGGCTTTGCAGGAGCTGCTGGCATCACATGGTTGGTACCATTTTTACCTGTTTTGCCCAATCAAAAGGCAGGACTTGAGGGGCCCTTGACCATTGTTCCTAACCATAGTTTGTATTTGGGGGGAGGAGTGGCTTGGCATGTGTAAGATAAGTTCCTTCCATCCTCAGGAGAACACTGGGAATTAGTTCCTCCCGTTGGCCCCATTTTACAGATGAGGAAAAAAGAGGAACAGTCCCAGCCGCTCTCCTAAAGCCACCTGAGAGTAAGGAGTGGCTCAGTCACCGCCTGTGGCCTTGACACTCTGAACCACATGTGTCAAACACACGGCCCGCGGGCCAAATCCGTCCCGCCAGGCCTTGCAATGTGGCCCGCACCGCGCTGTCATCACTGCACTCCGCTGCGTTTCCATCACAATGACAGTTTATGACTGTTCAGTAAACCGTTCGGCCCGCGATTTAGGCTGGATTTTAGATTTTGGCCCCTTCTCTGATTGAGTTCGACACCCCTACAGTCTGAACAATAAGGGGCAGTACTTTTGCCCGATGGAGGTCAGTTTAATTTTCACAAAGCAAAATAAGATGTTCAATTAAAAGCCATCCATCACAGCCCAAGCATGGTTCAGTGGTTGAGCACTGACCTGTGAACCAGGATACCTCCGTTCAGATTACTGGTCGAGGCACATGCTGGGCTTGGGGGCTGGATCCCCAATGGGGGGAGGGGGGGCGCAGGAGGCAGCCCATCCAGGATCCTCTCTCATCATTGATGTTCCTATCTCTCTTCCCCTCTCCCTTCCTCTCTCTAAAATCAATAAAAAATACATTTTTTAAAAAGTATTGCATCACATACCTTTCCAATGGAAGAACCCTTCAAAATATTAATAAGCCAAAGCCGGTGTGGCTCAGTGGATAGAGCATCCGCCTGTGGACTGAAAGGTCCCAGGTCCGATTCCGGTCAAGGGCATGTACCTTGGTTGTGGGCATGTCCCCGGTAGGGGGTGTGCAGGAGGCAGCTGGTGGATGATTCTCTCTCATCGATGTTCCTAACTCTCTATCCCTCTCTCTTCCTCTCTGTAAAAAAAAAAATCAATAAAATCTATATTTTTTAAAAGATATTCATGAAGGGAAAGAGCACATCAGAGCCAGAGAAAGCAGAGGGCGGCCTGCAGGGTGAGTGAGGGGGTGGGGGTGTGGCCGGAGGGCGCAGAGGGACCAGGGGGACTCGCTCACTTGCGGGATGAGGCGGCAGGAGCGCACCCCGTCGCTGGGGCCCAGCCACTGCTGGGGGTCGGGGTAGTCCCCGCGCCGCACCAAGTGCTGGGCGCCCTGGAAGTCGGGGCGCTCATAGAGCATCCAGCAGCCGCTGTCCACGCGCACGGAGCCGCAGCGGCTCAGGTGCGGCTGCAGGTCGGGCTGGTCGCCGCTGCACTCGTAGCGGCGGCCCTGGAAGCCGCGGTCCTCGTAGAAGGTGATCTGCAAAGGAAGCACAGCCCGAGTGAAACCGGGGCCCCCGGGAGGTCCTGTGCAGAGGGTTTGACCGCCTTCTCACTGCATCTGCGTCCCGCTCACCTTCCCCATGGCCGGCTGGCGGGTCAGTGGCTGCAGCGGGCACCAGCGGGTCTATATAGGGGCGGCGGCTGCTGCGTTGGCAGACACAGCACAAAGGGCCTGGGAGAGGAGGGCAATCTCGTGTTGCCTTTTTTCTCTTCGCTGTCACAGTCCAGGGGCCTTATTGTGGGTGCTGGTCCCATTCTCTCTGGCGTATTCGGATGGCTATTATTGGTTGGTGCTGTGGAGCGTATTTTGAAAGAAAAAAAAAAAGAAGTTTTAGGGGCATTGTCTATTTAATAATAGAAGTAGAGCTTCAGCCTTTTCGTATAGAGTCTACACTGTTCATTTGAATAGGTTGGGGGAAATAAAAATTTGTGTGTGGGAGAGCAAAAAAAAAAAAGAAAGAGGAAGAAAGAAAGGAAGGAAGGAAGGAAGGAAGGAAGGAAGGAAGGAAGGAAGGAAGGAAGGAAGGAAGGAAGGAAGGAAGAAAAAGGGCAGAGCCTTCTTATGGTAAATGTGACATAAATCTGCATGCATGCTCATGCTGCTTATGCACAACATCGAATACTAATCGCGACCAGGAAGAAAATGGCGTTAACTGAATGTTGAATTTCGGACAACTTCCTCGCTGCAGACGGTAGGACATTGGGATGCTGACCCAGGGATGGCCGGATTTCACACTTTCCGTGTGGTAAGCAAACAAACAGAACCACAGGAGCACAGCAGGCCCCGAGCTTCAGTGTCCGGGACGGTTTTATAATAATTTTGTTGCAGCCACACAGGGAAGTAGAGGAGGACTGAATGGTTTATCTGGACTGATTGTGAGTCCAGAGGGAGAAAGCTTTAAAATGCTTCACCTCGGAGAGACGAACTGAAAGCGACATTTCTAAGTTAAGAAATAAAGAAAAAGTAATACGTTTAAAACAAAACAAACAAATAGGTGGCCTGCTCGAGCCCTCTACAATAAAACCAATTTCCCAAGGCATGCTTTCTGGGAGGATGTAGATAACCCTCAGCTCTCCGGGGGTCCAGAGGGCAGGAAGTGAGGGACAGGGAGACCCAGAGCCCAGCTGGCAGGGGGTGGGCGGTGGAACCAAGAGCTGGAGCGGGGACGCTGGGAAGACCCGAGCACGTGTTTCCCTCCAGGAAGTGAACGGTTTGATGGGCGGGAAAGAGCACTGGAGTGGAAGGTGCCCGGTGCCTTTAGCCGCTTTCATGCTCAGAGAATCACCCACAATCCTATGCTGTCTCTTGGAAACCCTTTGTCCTGCCTTGGGTCATCAATCTTTGTAAGTCGAGATTTATTCATTAAACACCAACTGTGTACAATATGATGAGTTCTGTACTTGTTATTCCCTACCTAAAGGCATGTGTTCCTGAAGTCACTTATGTTTCCATAGTGAAAAATAAGCAGCCAGAATCTAAAGAATAAACATCATCGTTTTTAATTAAAAAATTTAAAAATAGAATAATTTAAAAAAAATTTTTAAATCATCATTTTGCTGAGAACCGTTTCTGTGGGGAGAGTGTTGACAGATGAAAACAGTCAAATATGAGAGAGAAGCAAATGCGAAGAGTCCAGAGAGTTTGTAGAGGAGTGTGGGATAGGGTCTGTGGGGACCACCACCTTCGGGGCCAGTTACAACTGAAATTTAAGATACATTTAGGGGGCTGAAACAAGGGACTTTGAGCTTATTTATTCATAAACTAGGAAGGGAGAAGGTTTTATTTCAGCCTGGGGGGAGAAACGGAAAACCCTACCCTTCTCATAGAACTGAAAAGTGAATGGCCTGGGCCCAGATGTGGCTTGATTTCACTGCTCTCCAAAAAATTCTGGGAGTGACTAATGTGAGTTAGACCTTGTACTTCGTGTGCTGAGTGAACATATGTCAAGGCCTGAGAATCCTACACCTGCAGCACAGAAGCAGTGCGGCTGAGCAGGTTGCCAGGAATGACTGATGGGAACTGTCTTGGGAGGAAGAACAGGAGATAAGGATCAGGATCCCTGTTGTCCAGGCTCCAGTCCAGGAAGTAAGTAACCCTTTGTCACTCCCTAGACATCCAGGTGGTTTCAAACAAAAGTGAAGGAAAAGGAACTAGTTCAGGTTAGGAGTTTGCAGCACTCAGGTCAATGGTTCTTATAGCTGGAGTAGATCTACACAATGATGTACCTGAGAAATAGCACTTCCTAATTTTCTATAACTCAAAATGGGTTATGAATCTAAGTCTTATTATTCCACTGGGATGGAGAGACAATTTAATATTAGTCGTTGTTGGGTTTCTTCTCCTCTCTTTCCAAGCTTCAGGCTTCATGGCTGGGTTCTGTGGGCTTACATGAAACAGGGTGATTTCCTGGGTTACACTTAGAGGATTTGTGGGAGACTACTGTGATGCTCATTGTTTGTGGCTCTTCCCAGTTTTCACACCAGCGTGGAAATGAGACACGGTAACTCCGAGAGCTATGGGCCTAGAGATGTTTTACTTGGTTGGCACAGTGTTTAGATGTTTTTGCTTGTTTGTTTGTTGTTTTTAATATATTTTTATTATTTTCAGGGAGGAAGGGAGAGGGAGAGATAGAAATACCAATGATAAGAATTGCTGATCGGTTGCCTCCTGCATGACCCACACTGAGGATCAAGCCCGCAACCGAAGCCTTCCTGGTTCATAGGTCGATGCTCAGCCACTGAGCCATGCCGGCCAGGCTGTTTCTGTAATGTTTTAGGTTAGTCCACACTTTGCCTTCACTCCCCATCACTCCTTGTCGTCTTACTGGAGGCTGTTTCACTTATTTACATCAGCTCCCTGGCCCCTGAAGGTATGGAGAGGCAACCACAAACAAGAATTTTTAGACTCTACTCAGTTTTTACCAAATTAAAACAAAAAACTATACATCAAAATTCTCAAGCATACTCTTTTGGTCTGAATCATACTTTATTGGCAACCTGTGTGTTTGGAGGTTAAAAGTCTCTTTTTGTAAATTTTTTTTCTTTTATAAAAGGATGTGCAAATAATAGATGATGCTTAATTTTACATTTGTGTTGTTTTGTTCTTAATTTTAAATGGCCTTGCCATCATTAAAATTGGTGATCCTATGTTGGACTGGGAAATTTAAAATGCTGAGAACCACTTGATTTAAAGAATATGAAAAATATAGCAAACATTTTTATGGGGGTCTGTTTGTTATAATGCTTCAAAATCCTATCCTAGGGTTATTTCAGAAATTATTATTATTGTTTTTAATATATATTATTGATTTTTTCTTTTTTACAGAGAGGAAGGGAGAGGGATAGAGAGCTAGAAACATCAATGAGGGAGAAACATCCATCAGCTGCCTCCTGCACACCCCCTTCTGAGGATGTGCCCACAACCAAGGTACATGCTCTTGACTGGAATGGAACCTGGGACCCTTCAGTCCGCAGGCCGATGCTCTATTCTCTGAGCCAAACCAGTTTTGTCTATTTCAGAAATTATTCCTCCCTTGAACTCCCCACTTAGGGCCAGCATAGCAGTTGAGAACCTTAAACAAACCTGAGCTACCGACTCATCTTTGCCTCTTCTAACTGTGGAACCCTGGCCATGTTATTTAATTTAACTTAATCTCAGTTTTTTCACGGGTATTGTAAATAATAGGCTTAATTTGTCTAGTGTATAAGCTACTTGGATCAAGCTAAATTTTTCACTTTCAAGATAACGTTTCTTATACATAAACCAAGTCATTATGCTGTACATTTAAAACTTTCACAGTGCTGTATGTCAGTTATATCTCAAAACTGGAAAATCTATAGTGTTCTTCATTAAATAGTTTTATAACTGTTGTACTCTTCTTTGTCACGTGACATTTCCATTTTAACTAAAGAAATGTGACTGAAGCTTCTCCATCCTTGTCTGCCACCGCTATCATTAACTATCATCCATCGTTATTATTCTATTCACAGGAAACTATTTTCATTAGAAATGTTTTTCCAAAGCAGAGAGGGAAAAAGTGTCACCCAAAAGTTAGGTGTGTAAGGATAATTGTGTATGTCCTACCAAGAAAACACTTGTCCCCGCCAACATGTTAAGGAATAAAAACATATATTGTGTGAAATATGTAAATAAATACTGCTCCATCCATTTCCCCTAGTAGGTTAGTACAGGATGACTTACAGGTTCTAAGTAAAAGTACTTGCTAAACAAAAGTGATTGCCTATGTATTAAGTGGTACTTAGGCAGGACTTGATTCTAACATGTGATTATATACTTCTCATTGAGCGTCCATGTTTAGTATTGTGTACAGAGCTCTGTGGTGGTAGGGACAATGCCTTCCATTTCATCCCCAGGGCCACATCTGGCAGGCCCACGGCAGGTGCTCAATACATGGTGAAGACTTGAACTCAAAGAAGTTATGATTTCTGGTGGCTAGTAATTGGGCAGAGCCTTTAATCAATTAATTTATTTATTTGGTATGTTTTCATTGATTTCAGAGAGGAAGGGAGAGGGAGAGAGAAATAGAAACATCAATGATGAGAGAGACCCATTGATCGGCTCCCTCTTGCATGCTCCACAATGGGAAAATACCTTCGGGTAAGATTAGATAATAAAAAGACATAGTAATGTGTATATCATCCATTTATTTGTATTAGCTGGTGTTGTGTACAGCTATGCAGTTTTTGCCCTTCATTCAGTATTTGGCCCAGCTGCTGTACTGGCCAAGAGGCGCGCCCCGATCAGGAGCTGTTTTAGATTAGGAAGGAGGTCCTGCAACTGAGTCCAAAAGTTTGGCCACGGCCAATGGCAGCAGTAGGATCAGTTCCGCAGAACCGTGCTTGAGAGTCAACAAACCACAAGTCCTTATGTCGTGCCATCAGGCTTTTTGCCACGTGGGCTCTTCTTCACCGCTCATCGCTGACCCTCTGTGGCCTCCAACCATGTCTTGTGTCAAAAAATAATGTTGTTCCTCAAAGCAGAGGCTGAAGGCTCCATTCTCCACAGCCACGCTTCCCAATTCTCTACGTTGACCTGCCCCCCATTCTCAGGCAACCTGCCTCCTCTCTCCACCCCCTCTTCTGAACCTGTTCAAGTCTTAACTCTACCCTGAAGCTCTTCTAGGAACTCCTCCCCCCCTTTATCAGGGACCATTGACCAGTGAATTCATTGGCACACAACGAAGGAAAGACAGAAGCCAGCCATTGCCAACAATACAGACGAAGTACTTTATTAGGTTCCAAAGTGAGAAAATGGTGGCATGAACCGACTTCAGTATAAATCCACCGCCCTCCTCAGAGAGGCGGCCTTGGCATCCGTGGCCCCCCAGTCGTGGGTGTGCCGGTACTCCTGGGGCCGCAGCAGGTACTGCCGCCCCCGGTAGCTGGGCATCTCGTAGAGGACCCAGCAGCCCTCCAGCACCTGGAGGGAGCGGACCTCGCTCCGGTGGAAGCGGTCCTGGAGGCAGGGGCAGTCCTCACTCAGCTCCATCATGTGGCCCTTGTGGTCCTCTCTCTCATACAGCCGCAGGCGGTGGGAGCTCGACTGCTCCACCCACAGAGAGAAGAAGCAAGCAAATGACAGATGAACGTGGAGGGCTGGGGGGTGGGATTGTCCCCGTAAAACCTGAGACTCTAAGATTGCTGTGAATGCTTCGTATGGGCTTGTGTCCTACTCACATGAACACATATTTGCATGCCTGTTCTCTCTTTCAGATCTAGGAGGAGAAATGTTTAAGAGATCCAAGGTTTGGGTTAGAATCTATCAAGAGCTCAAATATCTTGTTTGCTTAACTCCTAATTACCCAATTCCTTGATTCCTAGTGTTAAACCAATATTAGGGGGATAATGTAAAGTACTTGACTAGTATTCTTTTAACATGAGTGTTATCTCCCAAATTTATATCCATATAAATTTACCACTAAAGTAGGATTTTAAAAAATCACATACTTCATTGAAAATTGGTTTGGTCACTTGAACCTAATTCACCTGATTTCCCAAATTAAGAACCATTACTTTTCCCAAAGCTGAACGTTACCTTTGAATAGCTTACACTAACAATAGAGTTTTCCATTTCTACTAGTCTAGTGCAGTGGATTTCATGCCCCGTCTACTATTTCGTTCCTAGTCAATGCCCTTACTATAGGTATAAATTGATTTGTTAGAAATACTGCCTTCTCTGTCCAACCAATTTCCCATCTGCAAGCTCGGCTTTCTATCCCACTCTGTTATTGCATTTGTTACAGGCAACTTTTGATTGACCTATTGGTAGGTAACAAACAAAACAGACTCTTTCCCTAAGTGAGTTCTTCCCCATAGTCTGTGCTGTTTTTGTGCAAGTATCTATTTGAGCTTAGGCAAGTATCTAAAGCCCATTCAATCCTTGGGTGCTTTTTTTTTTTTTTTAATAATTTTTTACTTATTTATGAGAGAGAGAGAGAGATCGGTTTGTGCCCTGACCAGGGATCAAACCTGCAACCTTGGCTATTGCAATGATGCGCTTACCAGCTGAGCTATGTGGCCAGGGCAATCCTGGGGTGCTTTTTAAAGGAAACCTCCTTCACCCTCACCCCCCAGCCCCCCCTCAATTACACTGTGAGGCCCTCGCTCACTTGCGGGATGAGGCGGCAGGAGCGCACCCCGTCGCTGGGGCCCAGCCACTGCTGGGGGTCGGGGTAGTCCCCGCGCCGCACCAAGTGCTGGGCGCCCTGGAAGTCGGGGCGCTCATAGAGCATCCAGCAGCCGCTGTCCACGCGCACGGAGCCGCAGCGGCTCAGGTGCGGCTGCAGGTCGGGCTGGTCGCCGCTGCACTCGTAGCGGCGGCCCTGGAAGCCGCGGTCCTCGTAGAAGGTGATCTGCAAAGGAAGCACAGCCCGAGTGAAACCGGGGCCCCCGGGAGGTCCTGTGCAGAGGGTTTGACCGCCTTCTCACTGCATCTGCGCCCCGCTCACCTTCCCCATGGCCGGCTGGCGGGTCAGTGGCTGCAGCGGGCACCAGCGGGTCTATATAGGGGCGGCGGCTGCTGCGTTGGCAGACACAGCACAAAGGGCCTGGGTGAGGAGGGGATTGCACGGGTCCCTGTGCCAGGCTGCATTCAGGGGAAGCGCCTGTGCAGTTTGCCCTCATCTTCTGGCACATTCTAACGCTGTCCTGGGCCTGCCCTATTGGGCCCCTACAGAGGCTTTTATGCGGACTCCCAGCGTTGTCTGAACAACCAGCGCACCAGCCTGAACTTGTGACCTGAAATGCTTGCGTCTGCACACATCAAGCAGCTACGCCCCGGGTATTTTCTGGGGAAACAATCTACATCTTTCCAGAAGAGCCGCAGAATTCCAGAGGGGGCGTGGGGAAGCAGAATGCCACAACACTGACCAATTTCCCTGGACGACAGAGACCCTCTCACTTACATTCTCTTTTTGTCCCCGGCTTGCCAGCCTGGTTCACGACACGAATCTGGATTCTGGTCTTTGCTGGTTTTGACAGATGCGTCAGGGCGGAGTGACTAACTTCTCCTTTGTGCTGCATGTAACTAGAAATCAGCGGCTGGTAGTCAACTTGTGATAAGGATCAAGGGAAAGGCTTTTAGGGCTATTGGGTCCGAGACTAGGAAGTTTGTTGCTTTATAGATCGCTTCCCAGGGCCGGGGGAGGGAGCAAAGCTTTGTGAAATGAGAATGCCCACCTAGTAGCCACATGGGCTCTCAGAACATGAGTTATTCCATAGTGGTTACCTCAGGGTACATAGTATGAAGGATAAGAAAGAAGTAAAGAAAGAAGAGAAATAAAGAAAGAAGCCGGCTGGTGTGGCTCAGTGGTTGAGCATCGGCTTATGAGCCAGGAGGTCATGATTCCATTCCCGGTCAGGGCACATGCCCAGGCTGTGGGCTCCATCCCCAATGTGGGGCCTGCAGGAGGCAGCCAATCAATGGTTCTCTCTTATCATCGATGTTTCTATCTCTTCCTCTCTGAAATCAATAAGAATATATTTAAAAAATAAAAAGTGACAAGAGAGAGCTTGCCTCCTCTCTCTCTTGGCCAGGAGACAGTACAAAAAGAAGTCTGCAAACCAGGACGTGGGCTCTCACCAGACACTGGGTCTGCCTGGACCCTGATGTTGGATGTGCCAACCCCCGGAACTGTGAGAAGTAAACGCTGGCTGTTAAGCCACCCAGCCTGTGGCATTTTTGTTACAGTACACAGGATTAAGACAGCCACTTACCTGTTTGAAACGCTTCACTGACTCCCCTTGCCCTCAGAATCAAGTACCGGTTCCTAAGCATGGCACACCAGACCTGCCATCCTCCGTCTGTCCCCACACTTTCTGTCTGATCACGCCCAACCACTGATAGCTTCCCAAATGCAGTTACTTTTGTGCCTCTCTTGTTTTTGAATGTATTGATCCTTTGCCTTGAGACACCAGCTCCACATTTTTCACCCAGAGAAATGTTACCCTTTTCCTCAAGGCTCAGCTCAAGTATCAGTTCCTCTGCAAAGATTGTCTTGAACCCTTCCTCTTCCAGGCTGACAAATCCAGTTTAATACTGCTTATTGGATTCCCCAAGCATCTCGTACCTACCTACCTACCGCTGTAATGGTAATTACCATATTTATGTAATGATTTTGTTTAGATGTCTGTTCCTTGAAATAATTGGGGAGAGCCCGATAAGGGCAATGATAATTCTATCTTTAATTTTGCATTCTCACTAACTGGCAAAACGAACTGGTGTATTAAAGTCACTCAATAAATGCACACTCACATCAAAGTTCAGCATTTGCAACTTTCAATGTATAAGATGACATAAGCACTCTGCCTTTGATCTATCAAAGGGCCTTTATAACAGGGCAGATGACTGAGCAAAAACAGGGATGATGTGCTGTTCCCCGGACCCTTGGCTCCTCACTAATTCTAATTTTATGCCTCTGGGTTGTCAGATGAATGCTACACCAGCGGCAGCTAATTCCAGAGTTTTGCCAGTGTCTGAGATCCAGCCAGCAGTTGACCTTACCACCCACCTTCTTGCTTCCTAGCAATTCATATGGAATTTATATCACATCCATGCTTGCTTAAATGAGCAGAGATCATTTGATTGGCAGCCATGTAGATCAATCTATGCCAAACAAAGAGCCTGGGTAAAGGACCCAAAGACCACCATCATAGAAACAACCGCCAGTTCCCTTTCTCAGCTATGTTTGATGACCACTGAAATACATGACAAGGAGACAGCAAACATTGTCCCACCACTGTTTAACTTCTATGCCATGTCTCTTGGAACACGTTAGCATTTGTGTTAAAAACAATACATTTCTCCTTGTTTAAGCAACGGGTGGTTCTGGGTGTCACTTCTGCTTTGAGAAACCCACAAAGGAGGAAATTTGAACTCCCAAAGTCTGGGGGAGAGAGACTAAGACAAACTAGCATCAGGACCTAACCCCATGGCAGCAGAGCAGGACAGTGGGATTGGGAACCCACACAGAGGAGGGCCCTTTGAGGGTGTAACTCAATACAGTAGTTCTTGGAACTCCTTTATGGAATAGCTGCCACTTCAGTTTCAGAGACATATGTGGACCGCCTTTTATAAAGTTGTTAAATAGGCCAGAAGCCATTGTGGATTCCAGCGAAAAAAGAGAGCACATCAAAAACCTTAAAAAAAAAAAAAAAACATTCATTCGGTCAAATCGTTACTACACATATTTACAAGCTAAGCCATATGCCTAATCAGCATTTTGGAAAGGTACTGAAAGACCAAAATATTTTCTTTTCCTCCTAATCATGATATTTTATTCAAAGAAAGCCTACACCCGTTTTCTTGTAATGCTTTATTGGAAGGATTTCAAATGTTTCCATGTGACAACGTAATAAAGGCAAATGATAGATTAATTTTATTTTGGATTGAAACTTTGGAAAGCTGCCTCTTACTCCACCATTCTGCACTATTCAATGCTACACGTTTGCAAAATGTGCTACAAGCCAGCCTGCTCTGACACAGAAATACTGTATATTCTTGGAATTCTCCCACCACAGTCTTCCACTCACAATGAAGTAGCATAAAATAGATACACACATTTTGAAGACCCAAAATGAAGCGTTATAATATGATTCTAAGAAAAGAAGGCTCAACATCCAAAAATAACACTTGGGTGCAGTTTGCATCAAAGCTAACTGTAAAGGAAAATATGCTGGCGAGGGTTGCAGTTTTGAGATGTTTCTTTTCCTCTCCCAGAGACTTTATTGTGAAGTCCCAGGGATCAAGTCCAACTTTCTAAGTAACCTGCAGAATAAAAAGACGATTCTGGTATCAGGCATGGACGCAGACATTAGCTTCCAAAGTACAGGGAGTGAAGATCAAACATCAGATACTAAGTTGTTGACCATGATGGGTTAACATGAATGTAGACATTTGGAAATTGAGTTATACTTTTCAACTAAATTCAATATATGATCCCACACTGGATCCTCTACAGAAGGGAAAAAAATGTTTTAAAAAAACATCATTGGGTCAATTGTCAAAATTGTATATAGATAGTAGGTTGGATCAAAGTATTAATGCTATATTTTTCTGAAGTTGATAACCATACTATGGTTATTCAAGAGAGTGATATTGTTCTAAGGATGGACACACTAAAATATATGGGGTTGAAATGAGATGGTGATATAACTGCAAATAGATCAGAAAAAAAATTATGTATCTATATCTACATACAAAGAGAAAGAGACAGGAACAGAGGAAGAGAGAAAAATGATACAGTAATAGAGCGAAACATTAACACCTGGTGAATGTGAGCCAAAGGTACACACAGGTTCTTTGTCATACTCTAGCAGCTTTTCTCTAAGCTCGAAATCATTTCCAAAGAGAATAAAATAGTAAAAGTAATACTTCCTTTGATGAACCACACCCACAGCCAATCATTTCTCTGCCCTTTAGCAGCTGTGTATTATTCTTACAGCAGGTTGCTCTGAATTTCTTGTATATTGGTTTGAATTTAAACTAAAATTGCTCTCTCTCCACTCCTGACAGGGGGTGTTTACGTCTCCAGCGAGGACAGTGAAGTCCTCTGCTTCTCCGGCAGTTCTGGCTTTCACCTCACGGAGTTTGACGCTCTGTTGCTCAGTGACTACGTAAGGAATGTTATGCCTTTCGGAGAATAAACCTTTAGCATCATGCACTTCCCTTCTTTATCCCTGATAACGTTCTTTGATTTGAAGTCAGCTCTGTCTGGGATTAACATAGCTGCTTTTGCTTTTTTATTTTTATTTTTTTTTTATTAGTGTTAGCTTGGCATATTTTTATCTATCCATTTCCTTTTCCTCTATACGTGTCTTTATATTTCAAGTAGGTTTCTTATAGACACCATATACTTGGGCCTTGTTTTTTGATCCACTCCGACAATCTCTGCCTCTTCTTCATAAATTCTATTATGAAATGTTTCATACAGGAAAGTTGAAACAATTGTACCATGAGATACATAGGCTCATAACCTGCTAATTCTGTAAATAGTTTCCCGTGTTTGCTTTTCCCATCAGGGCAATTCTCTATCCCTAAACCCATCCATCAGTCCACCTTACTCTTGGGGGAAGCGTGTACACACTGTGCCTTCCCCTTTCTTTCATTTCCAAGAAGAGTTACTGATTTTTTTAGTCTGTTCAGCTTTTTACTTGTTAGAGTGTCGATATCCAAGCCCCTTCTGTGTGGAAATGGAAACCAGTCCCTCAGACTGTCCTCTCGCCATCCTTCCTCCCTCCCACGATGCTGAGTTCCTCCGGAGTGGAAATGAGGGCCCGTGCGTCCCTGCCTGAGGTAGTCCTGGCGCTTTCTAAGCCCTCCCATGTCTGTTAACAGTCCCTGGAAGAACCCCACGAGGTACTGTTATCACCCACTTTTTATAGATGAGGCACGAGGGATTCACTTCATAACTCACCCAAACTATTAAGTGGAGGAACCAGGCTTCAAATCTAGTTATCTGACCGGAACCCACACTCTTACTCACTAGAGTATGCTGTTTTCTGGCCCTTTGGTCTGATCCTGTCCATTCCAAATTCATTTCCTAGAACTCTGCCCAATAGTGACACTTTCCCAGGATACGATGTTGCTCATACCCATTTCTATCCGTAAATGAGGTACTAATACCAATACAGTCTAAACGAAATATTTAAAGCTGTTTTCCAGGATATCTGGATTTTTAACAGTTAACTTCTCCTTTTCTCTTACTTTCTGAAAAGAAGTCAGAGGCTGGAAATATATAGAAAATCCTGTTTCATCTTAAGGTTATAAAATTGTTTATCATTAAAATACATAATATAATATCAATAAGCTATCAAGAAAAAGACTAAGCTCAAATATACAAAATGAAAAACTTCTTTAAACAATAAACCGTGATGCCCTAACCAGTTTGGCTCAGTGGATAGAGCGTCAGCCTGTGGACTGAAGGGTCCCAGGTTCAATTCCAGTCAAGGGCATATACCTTGGTTGCAGGCACATCCCCAATAGCGGGTATGCTATAGGCAGCTGATTGATGTTTCTAACTTTCTATCTCTCTCCCTTCCTTTCTGTATAAAATCAATAAAATATATTTTAAACAATAAACCGTGAAAGAATATTTCTCATACGTTTATAAAATAATTATTTTTTAATAAACATATTTGTTTATTTTATTTACTTCTTGGCTATTTTTTAAAAAATCAGCAGTAGGACATACAATGTGTAGCAATATTTGAATATCAGAAGAGATATTAACAGTGTTTATTTCTAAGGAGTAGGAAAGGGATTACACTTAAAATTTTTGTGTTGTTTGAAATGTTTACTATAAGCACATACACACTTACTTAAACCCACAGTATAAGAGTGGTTTAACTTGTGAGTTAGCATTTCTCAAAAGCTGAAAGATAATGGTGGTTAATATTTATCTAGGGTTAATCTGTACAAGCACTGTTCTAACCTCTTAACATTATGATCTCAGATCATCATCCCAAAAGCTTAAGAGGGAGATACCATTATTCTTCCCATTTTGCAGGAGAGAAAACTAAGGAACAGAGAGGCTAAGTCACTTACTGGAAGTCACACAGATGCTAAGTAGTAAGCTGTAGATTCCAACCCAGAGCATCTCATTCTAAAGGCTAGACTTTTAGCTACAATATAAGTAAAGTACTCCCCAACATCTGGTATCATTTTGGTCCTATTTGTATTTTTAGACCTACTTTGCTCTTTGGCTGTGTGTCCGAGGGTAACTTTTTTGATGATCTCTGTTCTGTGGCATTTGTTTTCCTCATAGAGCTGTTGGTGGCATTTTTATTCATTGCTCCCCTTCTTAGCTTTATACCTAGAGACACACACACATAGGAACAACACCACAAACACCTTTTCAAAAACAAGCCCACCCACAGTTCTAGATCTTTCCCTTCAGGAGTGCTTTGCTCCCGTTACCAAGGAGTCTAAGAAGTACTGCCCTGGTTTTGACAGTAGAGGGACATGAAGCCATAAGTGCTCCTGGTTCTTTGGCATTCAACCGGAGAGATGGTCTTACCATACCACCTTGGACCTTACACGGTGAGAGCCCCTCCTGTGTTAGATTTCTCTCACGGGTGTAAGTAAGCAGGCTTACTCTGTTTGCGGGCATATTCTGCTGCTCTGGGTGCCGTTAGCATGGCAAAAGGGTGCAGGGAGAGGCGGAAAGGTGGAGCTCGGGAAACCTGAAAGGAAAACAGGGCTCCTTTGAAACGCTGCACACGCTGTGCTGATAACACCTGCTGCTTGCGGCACTTAGCCTGCTCACCCGACCCACCGCCCTTGGACATGCCTAAGGGCCCCTCTGCAGCTAGGGTTCCATTTCATGCACGTTCACACATTGCCTTCTACTCCCACGCTTGGTTCCTCCTGCCTAGAATACCTTCCACACACTGCTACTCCCCAGAGTTCCCTCTACCTGCAAGGGCTGTTTCCTTCCGTTCTGCCCAGGGGCTCATTTCCTGAAGGCCCCTCCTTTTCCTGGGAGATGTAGCTCCAACATCACCTTTTCCGAGAAACGTGCCCAGTGTCTCCACACCTTCACCCTCCTCTACTGGCCTTCCACCCCCTCCTCCACGCCAAGGCAGAAGGACTGTGAGCTCAAAGCATGTTGTCACATAGAACACACCCAGTGTGTTGTGATTATAACCCGCTGTCTGCTATGCAGCACTAGGAACTTATTCAAGGCTAGCACTGTCCATTCATTCATTCATTCATTCATTCATTCAACAAGTTTTCAATGAGCATCTACTGTGGCCCAGGCTCTGCTTTAGGAGCTGGGTGAGGAGAGACACTAAACTATTAGGCAACCAGGGTAACCGTACATCATGATAAGTTTAACAAATAAACTCAACAGATGATGTGCTGGCGAGTAACTGGACAGCCACCACTTCAGACAGAAGGGACAGAGACAACATGGGAAGCCATGGAAATGTTTTTAAGCAGTAGTGTTACAAGATCTGGCTCAGGTTTTTAAAAAGATCAGTCTGTCCCAGCTGATCGAGTGTTGACACATGAACCAGAGGTCATGGTTCGATTCCCTGTCAGTGCACATGCCCAGGTGGCAAGCTTGATCCCCAGTAGGGGGCAGCTAATTAATTATTCTCTCTCGTTATTGAGTTTTTATCTCCCTCTCCCTTCCTCTCTCTGAAATCAATTTAATGTGATCAGTCTGGCTGCTTTGTGGAAAGTGGATTCAAGTGTGGAAGGAGAGAGGCTGATTAACTAATTTAACCTTTTATCTCTAGTGCCTTAGAGAGTGCCTAGCACATAGTAGGGACTCAAATGTTACTGACTAGCTAAACTATAATTCTGGTCAAGGCAATAAGTGGTTGACAGCATGGACTTTGATGTCAGACTGGCTGTATCAGAATGCAGGCTGAGCCATCAATAAGACAGGTGGCCTTGGGCACGTCTTTTAACTTCTCTGTGTCTGTTTCTTCATGTGATAATAATGATACCGGTACCTGCCTTAGAATTGGGGTAGGGATGAAAGAGTTAGCATATGTAAAGTATTTAGAATAGTGTTTGGTACACAGTACAATATAGTAGCTTTAAAATTAATAATAAATATTTATATTTATCATCTTCATCATTTCTCCCCCTGTCTCGGTTCTCTTTTTTGTATAGAACTACCCATGGCAACAGTGTGGCACTAATTCTTGTAGGGAATCCTGCCTCATCTACCAGAAAAGGGTTGGGTAATTGCTGACAAATGACGAATCAGAGCCAGAAGGCCTGAAATGATTAGCACCCCCTGCAAGATCAATAACTATCTGAAATGATTAGCACCCCCTGCGCAAGATCAATAACTATCTGCTTTCTCACTGATGGAGATTCGGGTTGTAGGTTTACAGGAGTAAATCTGAGGAGTAAAAGCTGATGACACAGGTCTTTTTATGCATGTCAACAAAGATGCCATCTCATGATGTATAACCAAGACAAAAACACAGAAAGACAAGGACAACAAAACAAATACCTAGTTTTAGATCTCCAGGTCAGTGGGAAATATTCTGCTCTATCTTGTCATCCAAAACTCTTAATGACCACACTCCTGATGAGCAAGTTCCCACTAATTGGTATCATCTTGGAAGTAGGTAGAAATTTGAACTCCAAGATAATTGTGTGGTTTATATATAAGTGAGGTATTTTTTGGGGGGAGTGTCTTCTTCTTCTTCTTCTTCTTCTTCTTCTTCTTCTTCTTCTTCTTCTTCTTCTTCTTTTTAAGAAAGGGACTACATTTCTATATTATTTTCTCCTTTTCAGCAGGAATGATTGAGCAGAGGCCTGGAAGAAGCCTGCCTCCTGACAATTGGGTGGAACTTTGGTACCAGCCCTGGTCTGCCCACCTCCAGACTCCTTTCACCTGCGAAGTAAACTTCTGTTTTTCACTATTATTATGAGCTTTTGGTTGTTATATAGGTGGGGCGTTCACTATTATTATGGGCTTTTGGTTTCCCATGGGAAACCAGTATTAAACAATAAATGAGGACGTGTTCTCTTTTCCAAAGGAACAGTTAAGGGGCACTTTTCTTTTTGATCTCAGTCTTCTATTCAAATGGCAAAAATATTGATTGAGAGTTCACTGTACATCCAGCATCGTAAAGAATGAAACATAAACCATGGCCTCTAACCTCAGAAGCACATCATCTATTCAGAAAGGTGACCCTAAAACACTGAAAGTAATTGAAAGGAGGCTTTATATAAGTATGGGGCAATTGCAACTATAATAGCAATAGCCTGTCAGATTAATGTATGCCAGACACGAGAGTGAGAGAGAGAGAGAGAGAGAGAGAGAGAGAGAGAGAGGAGAGAGAATTGGCTCATGTTTGCTTGTTTTTAGTGATTAGACACTTATCTAACTTATGAAGTGATTCCCTTGACAAGTCTGGCCATACATCACTCTTTTTAAAAATATATTTTTTATTGGTTTCAGAGAAGAAAGGAGAGGGAGAGAGAGAGAGAAACATAAATGATGAGAGAGAATCCTTGACTGGCTGCCTCCTGCACGCCCCCTACTGGGGATCCAGCCCACAACCCGGGCATGTGCCCTTGACGGGAATCAGACCTGGACCCTTTAACCTGCAGGCTGATGCTCTATCCACTGAGCAAAACTGGCTAGGGCAAGCCATATGTCATTCTTGATGCACTTAGAAGATACAAGACTGAGGCTTTTCAAGCTCCCGTTGCCCTATTGACTGGGGCAGATCGAACCTGATGATTTTAAAGGTCACTTCCAGCTCCGATGTTCTCTGAGTCCCCGTAATCTGATGGCTCATGCAAGCAGTTAATGTAGTTTTTAAATGTAGAATGAAATTCAAATCCTAAATCTAGAGTTAATCATATCTTCTTTACTTTAATGCTACTTATTAATAGCTTCATTGTGGCAATGGCAACAGTATTATTATAATTTTTTATTTCTCAATTCAAGTACGTCTTGAGTGCGAAATTATATCCAAAGCACGTTCAACAAAATTTTCCTCCAATGGAAAGGAGTGTGGGGGGAGGAAAAGAAGGCAGATGTGTGTAAAGGCCTTTCTTCTTTTTCCCCCTTTCTCCTTCAAATAGAGTTGAAGAATATTTGTATTGCTTGCTTCATTTGTCGAAGGAAGACCTGTGCTCTTTTTCCTCCAGTTTAAACTTGAGCGGGACAGTTTATATTTGTCCGAAGCTATCTGTGTAGCCCTCACTTCCTTGGCCCTGGGTTGCCTTCTTCTATGGGTCCAAGGTCCTGAGCAGAAACATGGTTCCCTGTCAGCAAAAACAGCTCCCTGTCAGGAGAGAAACCTGACGCTATTAAAATTGGCGGGCCCATGCTGCCTCTCCGTCACCAGGTGGCAGCAAAGAGCCCTGGAGAAAGCCCTCAGGGCCGTGCACAGGACTCACATGGTGTCACGTGGGCAGTGCTGGTGGCTGGAAATTCTCCATAATCTGATTAGTAGTCAGCAGGGCTTTAAAAGCTCTTGCTTGGGAAGGAAGTTAGCTGTTGCTTAGGAGATATTTTATCTGAAGGAATCGAAGATCATTCAGATATGTGCAGCAATTAGAGAGGAACTTTTAGCAATAACGTTTTTTTTTTATAGCAACCCATCTCCTAGCTCAAGTTTTTGAAATTATGAAGGACCGTTTTAAGATAGCTCCTACAATTTACTCTATTTGAAGTGCTCCACGCCCGTCGGGAGGTTCTGCTAGTTCCTTATTTAAGATGCGGAGGGGGTCCTCACAGCAGCTGATCTGCCCACAAGAGAAAGGCCTGAGCAGGGAGGAGCTTGGGGGTCCCCAGGGGGCAGGCGATCCTCAGAATCTTATATTTGCAGCTCAGATCATATCATACCTTTTGTGACATCTCATGGTTTGAAATAGGCACAGCATTGCTCAGCCAGTGTGGCTCAGTGGTTGGGGGTCTACCTCTGGGCCTCCATGTCAGGAAAGCATTTTACAAACGTACCCGAGTAAGATATGGCTACATCTGGGTTTGTACATCTTGATATAAAACTGTTGTTTGATGCCGAAAAATACAACGTTATAAACGTGTCAGATAAATTTTCTCTTAAAATACCCCGAATGGATAGACGCAGGCCACCCCTACCTTGGTAGCACCAGAATTGGCAGAAGAATCCGCCCCGTAAATTTTAAAGACTTCCTCAATGGGGATGCTGTTCTGTGAAACAACAACAACATGTGTTATCATATCATGGCTTTTGTTCGGGCACAAAGCAAAGCTGTTACAGCTCCAGGATGCCCAGCACTGTGCCTGTGTGGCACAGGCACTCAGTCAACAACTTCTGAATAAGTTGACAAATCAGAATATGCCGAGTTCAATTCGTTATGCCTTTCATTCTGGGGTCTTTTGGCCCTTAAATAAATGTTTTCCCAATACAACATAGAAGTCAAAAATCTTTTTATTATAGCTTTAAAAAATGAAACATTTAATATCAGTACATCTTACATATTTATAAGCATTGGTTAAAGAGAAAGTAAATATGCGTTAATATCAAATGTGCATAGAAAATATAGCATCTTCGTGAATACAAATAGTGTTCTTTTCCTTACCATTAAGATGCCAGCATAAGATGATAAGATCATTGCTTCTCTTTCTCTATGGTTTGGGTATATCGGTTGGCCACGAAAGGGCCTTTTCCTAAGGGGGGACATGAATAAATAAGAATGTAGGGTTTATTCTTTTAAAAAATATATATTTTATTGATTTTTTACAGAGAGGAAGAGAGAGGGATAGAGAGTCAGAAACATTGATGAGAGAGAACCATCCATCAGCTGCCTCTTGCACACCCCACACTGGGATGTGCCCGCAAACCAAGGTAGATGCAGGCTGATGCTATATCCACTGAACCAAACCGGTTTCGGCTGGAGGGTTTATTCTTATTGTTTTTGACACCTGCTAAGGTTGTGAGAATAATCCATGAGTAATCTCCATTGGCCACGTGCTATGTGCTATGCACTTGCTCACAAAACTGTTGTGATGAACCCACCATCTTGGAATTTTGAATCTCCCAGCAGTGGTGATGAATTTGCCCTCACCTATCAAACATGGCTGACTGGTCACTGTGGTGGACAGTTATGGATTTGCCAACCAGGACGCTTTCCCCTCTTGTGGAGATTTGCCTGGGGGAACTACCTTCTCCACTGTAAGCCTCCGGGCTTCAAGGGGAGGTGGAAACACCCCCGGGCTCCAAAGTTGGAAAACACACTGTGGACTAAGCTAGTCACGGTCTTCCATCCCCCACACCATCCCCAGACAAGTCAGAGTGAACATAGCTATTGAGACACAATTCTGTGAGTTTTAGAAATCCATTTTTCCCTGGACTGAATATTGCAATAAAGTAGGCTGAAACTAAGAACGGTGTCTAGCCAGAGGAAATAGTCAAGAGGTAAGTCTTGATGACATGATTTGAGTTTGAATTAAGTCCTGCCTCAGACAGAGCTACCCATGGATTTTCAAATACAGAAGCAATAAATCTCCTCCCCCTCCTTCTCTTCCCCCCCCCCCCACTTAAGTCTGCTCAAACTGGATTTTCTGCTTATTATAACTGCACGCTAACTGATACAGCCGTCCAGGTGTGTGTACTAGGCCATGGAACGGAGAAAAATAACGCCTCGGGAATAAGCTGTTCAATTCGGGTCACATTAGTTTCACGTTCTTGCCAATTGAGTGTGTCTGCCTGGCACCCGGGGAGAAAATGCCGATAATCTTGGAAAGAAAATTATTCTGCGATTCAAACAGCTCAGCTCAGGTACCTATCTGGCCAAACGGTCCTTGTGAAAAAAGGACAGCCTTTGCCCATGGACTTGGCCCTCTGAACAGTCATGGCCTGTGTGCAATACAGCACCATCTTGTTCTAAGGGAGTACGTTCTATGCAAGAAGGATTTTCATGGGATAGAAACTGGGCCCCAGCCAGTTTGGCTCAGTGGATAGAGCATCAGCCTGTGGACTAAAGGGTCCTGAGTTTGATTAAGGTCAAGGGCACAGGCCCGGGTTGCGGGCTCCATCCCATGTGGGGCGTTCAAGAGGCAGCTGATCAATGGTTCTCTTTCATCATTGGTGTTTCTATCTCTCTCTCCCTCTCCCTTCCTCTCTGAAATCAATAAAATATATATATATATATATATATATATATATATATATATATATATATTTAAAAAGGAAACCATTAGCAGAGATGTAACAAATGTGAACACTATGTGACTTCCCCACGTTGACAGCTGTGGGGTTTCTTCAGATTTCTGCTGCAGAGGAACACTCCCCTGCAGGGTGTGCACATCAGAGCTCACGGTGGAAGACACCAGTTAGAACTTCCTCTTTCGTTTCTCATAGTCACACATTAAAAAACAAAAACAAAAAAACAATCACTATTCCCACTTACACTTTCTCCCACTGCAGCCAAGCTAAGTCTTCTGAGCGATCCAGCCACTGCAAAGCAACCCCGATGGCCAGGTCATAGTGTGCCTGGAAGCAGGAAGCAGAGAGAGAGCAGAAGAACTGGCTTAGACCTCGGCCCAGCCCTCCCTGCCCAATGACAATGGCTCCACTGAACCTGCGGCTATTTGTCTGCAGTGGTGAGGATCCTTGGCTCTGCCAGTGACCTGAGGCTCAGTCGGAAATCATAGAGCTTCAGGCACTGCCTTCACCTCCTGCTAGAGCAGGGGTTTTGTTTATTTTATTGTATTGTCTTTTTGTTTTGTTTTGTTTTGTTTTGGCTTCTGTGGATCAAAAAAGAAAAGAGGGAATCCGGACTCCCATCTTGGTATGGCCAATGATTGTTAGTGTATCCTTAGGTGAGCAATTGATGTTCTGTGGGCCTCCGTTTTAAGTTTTGTTGGTTTGTGTGTTTTATATCCTTTTTATTTTATTATTTTCATCACCATTTATCCCCCCCATACTTTCTTCCACTCCCCACTCCCCTCCTCCCCTCACAATCACCATATTCTTGTCCCTATCCATGAGTTCTTTCTCTCTTTTCCCCTTTTTTGCCTCTATCTCACCACCCCTTAGCCCTCACCCCTTAACATTTTGAAACAGAGAAAGGTGCAGGTGGAGGAAGAGGGGCCCAGAGAACAGTTTCTGTTCTGTAAGTAGAATGACAGAAATGTGCTCCTGGGACACCTGCAACCGATGTGTCCACTGGGAAATCCTGGGAAGCTTCATGGAGGAGGCTGTGGTGGAACTGGGCCGTGGATGGGGGGGAAGGACCTCCAGGTGCAGGGGTGAGCATGAGCGAAGGGCTGAGGGAGACCTGATTAAGTGACCTGCTAGGAGACTCCTACAGAAAGCCGAGGAGCAATTCCAGCGAAGGCCAGTTTGACTTGGGCACTTTCAGATGGGTTCTAAGGTTCTATCTCACTCCCATAGTTTCTAAAACAATTTGATTATTTCTATTTCTTCCAGGGGCTGAACCAGCTGAAAGTGAATTAAAAGAAGAAGAAGAAGAAAAGAGAGGAAAGAAATGGACCATGATCAGTTGTTGGAACTTAATCCAAGCACTGATGCGTGGACAGGTAACACTGGTGTCATTTATTAGAAATGCGAATTCCCAGCCCCACCCCCAGCTTCCTGAACCACCACGGCCTTGTAATAAGACCTCATTAAAGTTTGAGAAGCAATTATCTAATTGACTTAATTTCTCCATCTAATACATGCACTGAGAAGCACTTACTATTATAGTAAGAAAACCAAGGCCTGACCGCTCCTTCAGCCCGGGGGAAGTCAGACAGAGAGAAGGGGAGGTTGGTGGGGTCCTTCTTCCCGGCTAGTGCCAGGACAGGAAGTGGGAGGATAAAAAAGCTGAGGGTTTACAGTTTCTTTTGAATTAGGTCTTTACATAGTTTCTTTCTTAACATATGGGAAGTGAACTTTTATTATATAACATGAACCCAAGGTTCAACATGAGTAATAATAGAAAGGATTTTAGGATTATTCCATTCTTTGGCTTTCTCCATTAATGCACATGGTACAAAACAAAACAAATAAACAAACAACAACAACAAAAAACACACACCGAGTATTGCCCTAGCTGGTTTGGCTCAATAGAGGGTCAGCCTGCAGGATGAAGGGTCCTGAGTTTGATTAAGGTCAAGGGCACATGCCCAGGTTGTGGGCTCCATCCCACGTGAGGCTTTCAAGAGGCAGCCGATCAATGATTCTCTTTCATCATTGTTGTTTCTATCTCTCTCTCTCCCTCTCTAAAATCAATAAAATATATATATTTTTAAAAACCACCCAGTATTATATTTGAGAACTACATGATAGCTAATTTTGTCCAAAAAATGTTAACATCATATGTAATATTTGCCCTGGCACCCATTTTGCTTTTTAATCTTTTCTAATGCAAATAGCAAAAGTCACATGACTTTTACTTTCTCATTCTTTTTGCTTCCATTTTAATGAGTTGAGAAGACCCTGTGGAGAATGCTAGGATGAGATGAGAAAGAGGCCATTCTACAGGCCCAGGGTCAGCCTTGTTATGCATTATATACTTATGTCCCCTTCACTAACATGGAACACAGACGAGACTTCCACCCGCACGCCTTTCTTTACCATATCATCTAGGAAGGTGAGTTGCCTTCTTCCTTTTGGGTCAAATTCCTTTTCTCGAAGTCTGATGCCAATATAATCTCCCCTTAAAAGCAAGAGAGCAGGATTGAACCACTGGGAGTGGCACGGGAGCTCCGTCTGCAGTTGGGGGTTCCTGCCCAGCCCCTCCCTCCCGCCACACACAAGGGCAGTCGCTGACAGCTCTGGGAGCCGGGCTCATAGTTCCTCCTTTTTTTTTTTTTTTTTTTTTTAATATGTATTTTTATTTTATTTTATTTTATTTTATATATTTTATTGATTTTGTACAGAGAGGAATGGAGAGAGATAGAAAGTTAGAAACATTGACGAGAGAGAGTCATCGATCAGCTGCCTCTTGCACACCCCCTACTGGGGATGTGCCCGCAACCAAGGTACATGCCCTTGACCGGAATCGAACCCGGGACCCTTCAGTCCCCAAGCCGACGCTCTATCCATTGAGCCAAACCGGTCCCGGCATAGTTCCTCCTTTTTATCTGGAGAATTATTTGGCTGCTTTATTACCCACGTAACACTCTTTTGATTGAAAAGGCAATTCTGCAATGCTGTAGGCTTAAAATGCCTCACCATAATGAAATTAAACCACATTTATCTAAAAACTAAATGTAGCTGAAACTGGTTTGGCTCAGTGGTAGAGCGTCGGTCTGTGGACTGAAGGGTCCCGGGTTCGATTCCGGTCAAGGGCATGTACCTTGGTTGCGGGCACATCCCCTGTAGGGGGTGTGCAAGAGGCAGCTGGTGAGTGTTACTCTCTCATCGACGTTTCTAGCTCTCTATCTCTCTCCCTTCCTCTCTGTAAAAAATCAATAAAATATATTTTAAAAACTAAAAACTAAATGTACATAGTGGGCACAGAATTTATAGGAAAGCAGGGAGTAGATAAATCCCCACATGCAGGAAATGTTCACAAAAATGAAAGGATTGAGACGCACTGTTGATAATAAAGATCCCCTTGCTAACCATGTTAAGCTCGGGCAAAATGTCAAAGAGGTTGATACATTTCGGTTCAGATGTGTTCTTTTGCTTTTCCTCGTTGGAATGCAAATACCCTTAGGGGGAGTTAGACATAAAGATGTATTAGTAAGTCCAGATCCTTCCAGAGGACGGAACAAGGTCCTGGGAGGAGCACAGAGGGGCTGCTGTTCTGAAGAGTTGGGAAGAGGACTGGATGCAGGATAAGGGGCCCTGGGGCCCATTTCCAGACAGCCCTGGACTTCCCATGAGGCCACACTCTGGCCCCCAAGGTCTGTGGCACACACTTTGGGCAAGTAACCTTGCCAGGGCGAAGTCTGTTTCTGCCTTCTCAAACTCTTCTGACTTACTACACTTAGATCGATAAAAATCCTCAATTTTTCTTTCTTCATAATTCCAAGGTACTTTATTTAGAGTGCCCTAGATGTATTCTTCGGCTAGAACTTTACGTTTACACCCCTTTTGAAATTCCAGATGTGGGTGGAGGAATTGGCATCCCAGATTATGGTTTGTGCTTTAGTAGTAAACATCTGTGAATTCACACAGTTTACTCCAGAGTTCCTTAAGGACTTCTTCCGAGGTCATTATCTGAGCAGCTGGGAGACACATGGGATGGGGATTGTGACAACGTCTTTGACACAAAGAGCATTATTATTGTGCCTATAACACAGACGACATAGGACATAGCTGCCCTCCCCTTCCTTCTCTCCCCCCCCCCCCCCCCCGGCCTTTCTATAACATCTGTTATTTTCACCAACCTCTTAACAAAATACCACGTCAAAGAAAAGCTAGCTCAGGAAGGAAACATTCCTTCACGGGGAGACTTAGTATTTTCCCGGTGGCAAGAACCAGGAGATAAATTATTGAGTTGATCGGACTGACCCTGAAGAGAGGCGGAGGCTGCAGTTTCCATGCTGGGCCCTCGGGCACCTTTTTCAGAAACCTCCCCTCTGCCTTCCCCACAGACCCCTCCCAGAGGCACACCCCGCCCAGCACAGCCGACAGGCCTGTGGCCCCAGATCTTAGGCTCCGGGCCAGGGATGCCTCGGACGGACGAGCATGCTGCCGGCAGAAGCAACCGCCCAAGGGACTCAGCATCGGGCTTGGCACCACGTGGGAGGCCTCTGTGTGAGGCAGAGGCCAGATTGCCTGGCTGTTTTTCGATAGCGCAGGAGTAAAATCTTCCTCCTGCCCGTATCAGACCATCCATGACATGAAGCCCACCCAACGCCGAGTGTGGTAAACGAAAGCTTTCCTCGATCTTACTTACAGGAGCCTCTCCATTTCCTTCTTCAGGAGTCTTCTTTCCATGCTGAGGGGCTGAGCCAGCTGCGCAGGTGTCTGCCGCTGACGCTGCACCTGATGTCTGTTCGGAAGATGCAGTCGCTCTGCGCCCAGAAGCTACAGCAGCAAATCAGAGAGGACTGGAGGTAGGGACGCTATCACTCCAAATACCAGTCATGGAGTGCCCGGCTCTGGAAGGGATCCGAGAATGTGCTGAGCTCAGGCCTCTGGTGCATCAGGTACCCCGGCAGAGAGCTGTCTGGCGGCCAGTGCCCTGATCTTGAGTGTGCCTGGCACTTCTCATTCCTTGCGAGTTTTTTCAGCATTCATCATCTTCCTACCCTTGCGACAAACTAGCAAGTAAACAGCAAGGCTTGTGTCATAGTGGATGAGACTCTTTGGGGAGGACCATCCAAATGGGGATGGTTTGTGTTCTGAATACGCTTGAGCTCTGAGCACATTCGATGTAGTGACTCCCAGTGAGCTCGCCCTGGTGCAGTGGCTCGTGATAGTTTTCTATAGAATCCATGCACAACTTCTTTATTTCCCCCCCACGCACAACTTCTATGGCCAGAAGGTCCTTGAAAGAGCATGTGGTTATGGTAAATGTGAGACCATGTCTTCAGTTCCTACCCCAACACTGGACCGGAAATTGGAGTTTAGGTGATGGGGTCAAAAGGGTTCTGAAGTCACAGAAACACTTTACCAAAAAAATGATGTCAGTGTCAATTGATAAAAGCTAAGATTTGGAAATAGCCTAAGTGCTGGTTAGCAGATGAGTGGATAAAAAAAACTGTGGTACATCTACACAATGGAATACTACGCTATTGTAAAAAGGAAGGAACTCCTACCATTTGCAACAGCATGGATGGACCTGGAGAGCATTATGCTAAGCGAAATAAGCCAGTCAGAGAAAGAGAAATATCAATGATCTCACTCATTTGTGGATTATAATGAACAACATCAACTGATGAGTAAAAAACAGATCCAGAGATAGAGAAGCATCTATCAGACTGTCACACCCCAGAGGGAAGGCAGGGCAGGGGAGGGGAGGGGGGAGTCAACCAAAGGACTTGTAACCAATGAACATAGACACTAGGTGGGTGAGGGCACGAAGGAGGGGCATGGAGGGATAAGGACCTTAATCAATAAAGAAAAAATATATATATTAAAAAAAGATCAGTGTTGAATGGGGTGCCCCAGGAACAGTATAAACGGCATATCGACAATCTGCACCTGATATCTGTTAGGAAGATGGAGCCTTCAGTTTTATTTTTTTCTTTTCAGTTTTATTTCTTAAACATGATTTAAAGCAAATTGTGATGATCAATTTAATATAGCCACTTGACTGGGTCATTGTGCTCAGATATTCGGTCAAACATTATTCTGGGTGTTTCTGTAAAGGGGCTTTATGGATATTAGCATTTAAGTCAGTCAGTGGACCTGAGTGACACAGATTACTCTCCATTATGTGGGTGGGCCGCAATCAATCAGTTGAAGGCCTTAAAAAAATAAGACTGACCTCTCCCAAGCAAGAAGGAATTCTGCCAGCAGACAGCCTTTGGACTTGAATTGCCGCTCCTCCCTAGTCCTCAGTCCTAGTCCTTCCTTTCAAATTTTGGACCAGCCAGGCTACCACAGTCCTGTGAACCAATTCCTGAAACGAAATCTCTATGTATATTTGCTGTTGGATTTGTTTATCTGGAGAACCCTGAGTAATAATAAAAAATGTTAATCTTAGTTGATTATAGGTTTATGGATATTGATTATGTTACAGTCTGTACTTTTGAAGTCATGCACATGTTCTTAAATCACTACTATAAAAATGGTGGGGGGAAAAAAACTTTAGAAACCTTTTTATAAAAAATTGGAGCATGCTCTAGCAAGTTGGCTCAGTGGTTGGAGTGTCAGCCCATGGATTGAAAGGTCCCAGGCTCGATTCCAATGAAGGGCACATACCTCGGTTGCAGGGTCAAGCCTCAGCCCCAGTCTGGGCATGGATGGGAGGCAACCAATCGTTGTGTCTCTCTCACATGGATTTTTCTCTCTGTCTCCCCTCCTTCCTCTTTTCCACTCTGCCTAAAAATCCATGAAAAAAAATATCTTCAGTGAGGATTAACAAAACAACAAAATTGTAGTCTATGAATGTGATAAGCAGTTAGACAGACATGGGCAGAGCAAGGACGATGATGGGCCAGGTACAGAAAGTCAACAGGTGGAAAGCCATAGGTGCCTAGCAAGGATCAAACCTGGGAAAACAAGGACCTTAGCTCCAGGGTAACCCTTCCTTCCCTCGCATATCATTGGTCACGTGGCTTAGACCCTCTGACCTTTCACATCACTGGTCATAGGGGTCAGACCCTCCCCTGACCCTCCTGGCATGTTGCTAGCCGTGCAGGTTAGAGCCCCTTGGAGTGGAACAAGCAATGAGGCCAGAGAACAGCCCTTCATCATTAAGCTCCAGGACAATGAGATTCTGGCCTGCACCAACTACATGTGGTCCTCAGTAGTGTTTCAGCTCCAGAAGAGGTGCCTTCTTTTGTCCCTGTAACTTGTTTCCTGAGCCCATTTCTTCTACGGCTCACTTATTCTACCTTCGTTACTTTCTAGGTAAACTTTCTCTTATCGTTTGAGTCTTGGCTCTGAATTCTTTCTTAACTAGTTCTCAAGTACCGAGATCTCGCTGAAGCGAGATCGAGATCGAACTGCCGATGACGTTCTGGTGCGGTTTGGCTGCTAACATAAACATTAAGCTTTCTTGGGTTCAGCTTTTCTTTTTTTTTTTCTTTTTTTTTCTTTAATATATTTTATTGATTTTTTACAGGGAGGAAGGGAGAGAGATAGAGAGCTAGAAACGTCGATGAGAGAGAAACATCGACCAGCTGCCTCCCGCACACCCCCTACTGGGGATGTGCCCAAAACCAAGGTGCATGCCCTTAACCAGAATCGAACCCGGGCGGGACCTTTCAATCCGCAGGCCGACGCTCTATCCACTGAGCCAAACAGGTTTCGGCTCAGTTTTATTTCTTAAGCATGATTTAAAGCAAATTGTGATGATCAATTTAATATAGCCACTTGGCTGGGTCATTGTGCTCAGATATTTGGTCAAACATTATTCTGGGTGTTTCTGTAAAGGGGCTTTATGGATATTAGCATTTAAGTCAGTCAGTGGACCTGAGTGACACAGATTACTCTCCATTATGTGGGTGGGCCGCATTCAATCAGTTGAAGGCCTTAAAAAAATAAGACTGACCTCTCCCAAGCAAGAAGGAATTCTGCCAGCAGACAGACTTTGGACTTGAATTACAGCTCCTTCCTGGTCCTCAGCCTGCTGGCCTTCCCTTCAGATTTTAGACAGACCAGGCTACCACAGTCCTGTGAACCAATTCCTGAAACGAAATCTCTATGTATATTTGCTGTTGGATTTGTTTATCTGGAGAACTCTGAGTAATAATAAAAAATGTTAATCTTAGTTGATTATAGGTTTATGGATATTGATTATGTTACAGTCTGTACTTTTGAAGTCATGCACATGTTCTTAAATCACTACTATAAAAATGGTGGGGGGGGGAAAAAACTTTAGAAACCTTTTTATAAAAAATTGGAGCGTGCTCTAGCAAGTTGGCTCAGTGGTTGGAGTGTCAGCCCATGGATTGAAAGGTCCCAGGCTCGATTCCAATGAAGGGCACATACCTCGGTTGCAGGGTCAAGCCTCAGCCCCAGTCAGGGCATGGATGGGAGGCAACCAATCGTTGTGTCTCTCTAACATGGATTTTTCTCTCTGTCTCCCCTCCTTCCTCTTTTCCACTCTGTCTAAAAATCCATGAAAAAAATATCCTTGGTGAGGATTAACAAAACAACAAAATTGTAGTATATGAATGTGATAAGCAGTTAGACAGACATGGGCAGAGCAAGGACGATGATGGGCCAGATACAGAAAGTCAACAGGTGGAAAGCCATAGGTGCCTAGCAAGGATCAAACCTGGGAAAACAAGGACCTTAGCTCCAGGGTAACCCTTCCTTCCCTCGCATATCACTGGTCACGTGGCTTAGACCCTCTGACCTTTCACATCACTGGTCATAGGGGTCAGACCCTCCTGGCATGTTGCTAGCCGTGCAGGTTAGAGCCCCTTGGAGTGGAACAAGCAATGAGGCCAGAGAACAGCCCTTCATCATTAAGCTCCAGGACAATGAGATTCGGGCCTGCACCAACTACATGTGGTTCTCAGTAGTGTTTCAGCTCCAGAAGAGGTGCCTTCTTTTGTCCCTGTAACTTGTTTCCTGAGCCCATTTCTTCTACGGCTCACTTATTCTACCTCTGTTACTTTCTAGGTAAACTTTCTCTTATCATTTGAGTCTTGGCTCTGAATTCTTTCTTAACTAGTTCTCAAGTACCGAAATATCGCTGAAGCGAGATCGAGATCAAACTGCCGATGACGTTCTGGTGCGGTTTGGCTGCTAACATAAACATTAAGCTTCATTGGGTTTAGCTTTTCTTTTTTTAGTATATTTTATTGATTTTTTTTACAGAGAGGAAAAGAGAGGGAGAGTTAGAAACATCGATGAGAGAGAAACATCAATTAGCTGCCTCCTGCACACCCTCCACTGGGGATGTGCCCAAAACCAAGGTGCATGCCCTTGACCAGAATCGAACCTGGGACCCTTGAGTCTGCAGCCCGATGCTCTATTCACTGAGCCAAACCAGTTAGGGCAGGTTTCAGCTTTTCGACAACAAGCAGAAAGGAAACAGGATGCCCCTGGTTTAAATGAGGTCTTCACCAGACCAATTTCATTCTTTTGGACCAATCTTGCTGCTGCCACCTCTGCCTTGGATGAGATGTGGAGGTGAAAGGGGGAAGAAAGGAGCAGTCACTGGAAATGAATTAATGATGAAGACAGTAACGTCATCTCTGCAGGAGAGTACATCCGGAGAGGACGCTGCAAGCCAGAGAGGTGCCTCAGGCTCAGAGAAAGAAAAGCTCTGGGCCTGGGTGGGCCAGACGCTGGGATGTAGTTTCTCCTGCACCCCAACTGCTGTGGCCATGGTCTAGCTTCTTGGCTCTTCTGCACCAGGCTCAGGTGTTGTCTGAGAAAATGGTGAGCCTAGAGCACCTTTTGTCCCCACATTGTACAACTCCACAAAGGCTGGCATTCTCCTAATTCAATGAGTTGTGAAAACATTTGTCCTAGCTCAGTTCCTTGAGTGTGTGTGTGTGTGTGTGTGTGTGTGGTATAGGAGGTAGGAACGGAGTGAGTAAGGTGGGATGACTTAGCTTCCACAACTTTTTAAAAAAATATGTATATATATTTTTTATTGATTTCAGAGGGAAAGGGAGAGGGAGAGAGCTAGAAACATCAATGAATCATTGATTGGCTGCCTCCTGCACACCCCCTACTAAGGATTAAGCCTGCAACCCTGTCACGTGCTCTTGACCAGAATTGAACCTGGGACTCTTCAGTACTCAGGCCGAGGCTTTATTCACTGAGCCAAACCAGCTAGAGCTGTGCCTTTTTAAAAGGCAAAAGACTTAGCATTTGTTTTAACCTGTTTTGTTTTGTCATCCTGAGCCAGTCCTTTGAATTTCAGACTTACAAATTATAGATTTCCATCTCTTGGTGGCTGTGACAGCTTTCCCTTAGACCTACCTTCCACTGCCATTCCATGTGGCGTCCT